TGAGGTAAGAAGATCACAAATACAAGGGCAGCCTGTGCAACTAAGAGGCCCTGTCTCAAAATAAAAATAGGACTGGGGATGCAGGTCAGTGGTAGATTGCTTGCTTAGTGTTCATGAGGCCCTGGGTTCAGTCCCTAATACCCACACCAAAAAGAAGGAAGGAAGGAAGGAAGGAAGGAAGGAAGGAAGGAAGGAAGGAAGGAAGGAAGGAAGGAAGGAAGGAAGGAAGGAAATGAATTTGTCATTGGGCAAACCATTGTTTCTTTTTCTGCCTTGTTTCTTGCTGCTGTTCACCTGGACAAATTGTTTAACCTTTCTGAAGGTCAGTTATCGCACTGTAAATAGTTTTGATGTGGACCTTATTGGATTTCTTTTAGGCTACACAAGATAATGTGTGTGAGACACATAGGTTCCTGGTCATCTGCTATCTGTGCTCAGGAATTGGCAATCATGGAGAAGATAGGTGAGGCTGGCCATTTTTTTTAGGAAAAAGAATGCCAACAAGAGTGGTTCTTATAAAGTTGAGATCAGAATTGGGGTTCTGATTCATAGTGAATGGTTGTTTACCATTCATGCCTAAAATACATGTCTCATTTTTTTTTCTATGATCCAGGGAAATAGGTATTTTCCAGTTCAATTGATGTCCACTTCTGTGACGTCCGAGATCCCTGGCACTAACTCTTGCTTTTTTGTGTAAATTAATCCCTCACCCTACTACATGTTTCAGGTCCATTACCCACCAGCAGCATACTCCCCAGCATTGGTCACCACTACATAAAAATATTTCTTCTTCTTTCCTGGAAACTACAACATTTCCCCTATGACAAAAATGATTCTAGTGGGTTGAAATTGGAGGGAAAAATCTTGTGCATATTTATACAGTTATTTTGCCCATGAACTTCTATTACAGACCATTAAAACTTTGCCATTAGCTTAACTGCTAAGAACTCCTTCTAAGCACATAGTTTAAGAGCAAAAACCAAACAAGTTCTTGAGGATGTCCACTGCAACACAGGTAAATTGTAATGGGACCCTAAACATCTTATAATAGGGACATCTCTAAATACCTGATGGGTGAGAATAAAAGGAAATGTATTAGAGCCATTACATATATTGTAAAATAATACTTATTTTCATGGAGAGATGAAAATGATAATTAAGATGATAGGGATGAAAATAGCTAATTATTATTTTTTAAATAACAGATGCATACCCACTTTATACTCCTACTAAAACTTAAAGTGACAAAAATTTTAAAAACCTTTGCAAATATGTGTACATATGCTTATATAATATGCATAATATGTACTCATTGTAGAAATTCTAAAACATACAGACAGACATAAAGAAGAGAACGTGAACGTGCTCCTATGGGAGTGAATGAGAAGCATGATGCAGATGCTTGGTGCTTCAATGATGTTGGGGAAGGCTTTGCAAGGGACTTACAAATGTTATATCCAACATCCAGATGTGGAACTCAAGTCTCTGCTCTCTCTTCCACCCTCTTCTCCAGCATTCCAGCCAGTTAGAATTCTCTTCGTCTCTATGTGGAAATTGAACATGAATATTTTAACACTATCGTGCTTCTTTCAGGTACCACACAGTTGCTTTTGTTTTGAACTCTGTGTTCTTTGTTTCAAGTGTGGGACATATCAACAAAAACTTCTGTTTTCTTTTCTGAATTTAGCGTTTCACAACATGGGTCTAATAGTTGCACTAAAAATACTCAAACATAAAATTGTTAGTGAACATTGTGAAATCTTATAAATGGGCAAGATGGATTGACTTGAGGTTTGTTTTTGTTACTGAAAAGGATTTAATTTGCTTAACAGGTCATTTTGTTTTGTTTTGTTCTGATTTTGAGATGAGGGTGGTGCTAACTTTTTATATAAATAAGGAACCTAACCTTTGCAAATCTGAGGGCTAAGGAGAATTCAGAGGAAATAATTTGCTTTAGCTTTATCCCCTGAGATTTTTGGAGAGGAGGCATTCAGATTTCTTCTTCTATTTGATTTCTTGAGTTTTTGCTCCTGAAAACTGAAAATGCAGATTCATCTTGGGGTTTAATCATTGCTTTGTAAGTGATGAATACTTAGCAGTCAAAGAAGCATAAGAAAAATAAAGCCTGGTGCCTGTCTAGAAGGCACGATGGCAGGATGCATGGCCTTTTCTGTCTAATAGAAAACCCTAATTAGATTCTGTGGCCACCTATTTTCTCTTCTCTCTGCAGCTCACATTCTTTTGTGTTACCTGTACAATCGTCATAACATTGCAGTTTCAGAGGTTCAGTCCATGGCTGGCGGACTCCATAGCTCTCGGCCTGAGATGGGGCAGAACCTCATGGAGGAAGGGCATAGAGGAGGAGAGCATTTCAGAACATGGCCTCCAGGAAGCCGAGAGCTAGATATAAAAAATATGTATCTTGTGCATATTTATACAGCAATCTTACTTATTATATAGCTGATTTACGCAGGGCTTGCTTTGTGTCAAACACTATCCCAAATGCTTTATATACATTAACCTACGTGATACATGTGACGACTCCATGACACCAGTCATATTCCTTATCTCCCATTTTATGCATGAAGAGTAACAAACAGTTAATATTCCATGGTTTGTGTAAAACATGGAAGCACAGACACATATTTATAAAATATCCTCCTACCGAAGAACACATGGGGGAATACATTTTTGGTCACTTCTGTGGAGGATTAAGTGACAACTAGGAAGGTGACAAACTTTGATCCATTTGAAAATGATACCTATATCAAAAAGAAACAAAAATAAAAATAGAGGTTATCTGAGTCTAGTATACACGAACTGAGTCTAGTATACACGTCGTACACAGGAGGAATATTAAGGATTCAGACAAGAAATACATGGAGTCCAAGGGCCTGGGGCTCACATGACTAGTATTGGTGAGTCCTAGTGCCTATTTGTGACCAGCAAGGAGCTGAAGTGTATGAAGTGGAATACTCAGGACATAATAAGCATCCATTTGCTCTTGACAGGAGTCTTTCAGGGTGCCACTCTTCATTGCTCATAACATTTATCACATGGACCTGGTGCATTGCGATAGCAGGATTTTACAGATGTTGGCACAGCCTAGATTTACTTTTTTCCCCTGCTTCATGCCCTACCTCTCTTCTCTTCCTCCGTTTATTTTGCCTTAGAGAGAAGAAACCCAACACTGCAGTGGAATAAAATCAGTCTGGTAAGAATTTTCCCTTTTATCTCTCGTCCCTTTGAGGAATAGCAATTATACTTTTCCTTTCACATTCCTAGTAGATGATTTGTTTTCCTTTTAAAAGTGTCACTCTTAATTGGTTCCCAAGATACTTCCAGAAGGTCAGTTTGTCTCATTATACCTTCTGTTTGGGCTGAAAATTTTGGGAATAGCAGTTTGTCTCAAAGTGAAGGGTCCTTCCTATGCAAGCCCATGCTGGCTATAGGAAAACCTGAGGACTGGGGATAAACTTGAGGCTATAGAGAGGTTATTTACCAGGGGAAAATACCACTCATTCTGGCTGTTTTAGTATATTGTAAAGAGGAAGCAGGAAAAGAGAGAGAGAGAGAAAAAATGATTACCTATTTAAGGATCAAAATATGGGTGCTGAAAGCAGCTGAGTCTGCGACCACACTGGAATCACCCTGTCTCAGCAGGTGGCCTTAGAGTGGCTGAGCCTTAGAGTTCTTCTCCCCAGCTTCTTGCATTGTATTGGAGTGATTTTCCTCTAATTTGAAGGGTGCCTGCCTGTGAGAATAAGTGAGGTGGCTTCACCTGTGATGTTCCAAGGATGTTGCTGTCACAGCTCAGGTAAGCTGCCCAGAACGTTCTGGTGCTCTGTTCTCCTTCTGGGTTTTGAACTTCAGAATTGTTCTCACTCCTGTGATCTATGGCCATAAACCTGGTGGAGGGTGAGAGCTCTCAAGACAGAAAGGGATTGGAGACTGTAACTTCCACCTTTGTGCTCCAAGTCTACACGCAATCTAATCACCCTTACATCAAGGCCGCAGGTGTTCGTGCTGGTAGTTTTATAACATATCTTGAAGTGCATTAGGGATTTTTTTTTTCTTTGTACCGGGGATTGAATCCAGGGGTGTTCAACCACTGAGTAACATCCCAGTCCTTTTTATTTTTTTATTTTGAGACAAGGTCTTGCTAAGTTGCTTAGGGCCTTACTGAATGGTGAGGCTGGCTTTAAACTTGCATTGTCTCTTGCATTCAGTCTCCCAAATCACCGGCATTACAGGTGTATGTCACGAGGCTCAGCTTGAAGTGCGTTAGACTTTTCTTATATTGGTCTTCAAATTATCATGGCTTTTTTTGACTGAATATGCATTTCACAATCAGTGAATTTCCATAATGAAATTTTCTTTGTTTCTAAATGCTATCATTAAATTTTTATTGTTGAGAAAAAGCTGCCAGGAACATGAATCACGTGTCTTAAAAGAGAAAAGGGAATTTCATTCTCCTTAAGAGATAATTAGGAATAATATTCGGTTAATGTCTTAGATGAGAAAGATTTGAATCCTCGTTAATCCTCGTTTCTATAATTCATTATTTTTGTGGCACTAGTGTTAACTTTTATGTTATGTTTTATAACAAGTGGCTTTAACATAGAATTCAAGTTGCTAAATGGCCTTTAAGAATATAGCTGTTTATTGCTTCACTCATACCATCCCAATGCTTTGAAACCAATTTCCTGCCAGTTACTGTAAGTTTAGCAAGACTTATCAGAGATCTTTAAAGTAAACCAAGAATTTCATGTAAAACAATATTTGAAGGTCCATATTTTTGGAACAAGACACCTATTTTGGTTTCTGGTTTTCTTTTCTTTTTCTTTTCATGGGTTTGGTACTGGGGGATTTAACCCAAAGGTGCTTTACCACTGAGCCACATTACCAGCCCTTTTTCTTTCTTATTTTTGAGACAGGATCTCACTAAATTGCTTAGGACCTTGCTAAGTTACTGAAGCTTGCAATCTTCCTGCCTCAGTCTCACAAGTTGCTGGAATTATAGACATTAACCATTATGCCCAACTAGTTTCTGTTTTTTTTTTAATGATTTAATTGAGATACAGGAGATCAAGTGGCTTTTCAGGATCATTTGGCTGATGACCATTGGAACTAATGTGAACCCAGTCGCCCTGACTCTGTGCACTGATATTTTTAGCATTACATTTTGCTTCTCCCAAGCTTCTTGCATTGTCTCTTTTTCTTTGCATTTCCTTCTGTCATAAGCAGCTCTGCTCTCTTTCCTGATGAGACCTCATCCACTTACTAACTTGCAGAATTGGACTCATACTCAAACACTGGTGCTGCACACGTAAGTAGAAAGCAGATTTTGCTCACCACATCCTAGAACCCTTGTGTGCTTACCTCTTTCTGCTCTGTCTCTTTGAGTCAATTCTCCCTGGCAACATTGTAAATATTCTGATGGCAGTACTGCTTCTTACGGGTTTGTTATCTACCATGCTTAGCGCCAAGTCCAACATAGGGTAGGTGCTTAGTGCTCATTGATGACTCAATAAATTAATGACTTCAATGAGCATAGAAAATGTCTTACTGGAACCCAGGGTCAGGCATTTGGAATCAAGGGGAGATAGAATATGTTACCAATGACCAAACATTTTAGAAAGCCAAGCATTCCTGTCGAATGCAATGGATTTTAGTATCACTAGCAGGAAAACCAGGTGACACTTGTTGCTAATATGCTGATTGATTTCAAGTAGGAACAAATGTCCCACTCCAAGTACTTACTGGGGCTGGGATTGCTGTCCCTGTGGGAAGAGGACAATGTGTTCTTTGTGGTCTTTGAAGCAGAAATATGGGCTATGTTGTAAATCCTATCAGATTTTGAATCAATGCTTTCCCCTTCTTCTTAAGATAAGCCAGAAGTTTCATTCTCTGAAGAAAAGTGAGTATGTGTCTTGTTTATTGGGAGAACACAGGTCATCTGAAAAGGCAACCAGTTTTCAAATTAAAGATGGTTATCTTGTTTATTGGAGAAAACAGGACCGTGAAGGCTGCCCAGATTGGCAGGAAGTGCAGGACTCTCAGGTGGGGGGTGAAATTACAGGCATTAACCACTATGCCCTGCTAGTTTCTGTTTTTTTTTTTTTTAATGATTTAATTGAGATACAGGAGATCAAGTGGCTTTTCAAGATCATTTGGATGGTGACCATTGGAACTAATGTGAATTCATCTTGGGAACCACCACTCATCACTTAATCTTTTAGAGGCTCACTCTTCAGCAGGTGAGTGGGAAGGAGAATTTTCCTGTACCATAGACAGGGTCAGATGTAAGATAATGTACACAACGTGCTCTGCCAACTCTAGAGCACAGGGCAATTCTGAGGAAATGTTTGTTTGGTTCAGTGGATGGATAATTGAGCTGGGAATTCCGAGGCCTGGATCTGGGTTTTGCAAGTCTGAAAACTGGCTTTCTCTGGCCGAGGCAGGGGAGAATGTTGTGGCCTCTGCTGCTTGACCTCTCTCTACCCCGGGGGCTCCAGAAAACATAATTGGAATGCCGTTGTCTTCTCTCACCTTCGCCTCACCACTGACTTATGCTTATCCATCCTGCCTTAGAGATTACAAACCTGAAATTTGTATGCCTTGCCCCAGGTCACACAATCAATAAGCCCTTCAATAGCTTCCACATAGGACCTCTGATTCCTAATGCTGGCTTCATGGGGAGAGAAAGGAGGCTTTTCATTCTCTGACAACAGCAAGCAGGGGATGATCCACCTGTGCATCTCTAAAAACCAACTCTAGGCTTTCACAGTGGAGTGCTTGGGCGTGCCTGGGAAGGGGTGATTTCTCTTGTGTTTGCAATCGTGTAAACAGCACAGAGGGTGACTTGTTTACCAGGCAGAAGCATCGTGTCATCTTCCATTGTAGAGCGAAGAATACAGAATTTTCTGGCAGAATTTATGTCTTTGATGTCTCAGACATCAAAGATTATCCCTTTAGAACATCCCGGTCTTCTGAATTCATATAGTTTGTATTCATGGTTTTATGTGTGTAACAAAATTTGTTAATGGAAAAATTCCATTTCACAAGTACCAGCAGCAACTCTTAGAGGACTGTTAGTATTTCATTAAAATTTTGGATTAGAAAAAACTTATAAAGATTTTGAGCCCAATGCCTGCCTGACACTTTAAAAATCATTTGCCTATGTTCATTCTGGCAGTTTACATCTCTCCACGTTAAAGAAGCTGTAGATCTGTGGCACATGTGAAGTGGGATTGAAGCAAGACCAGAACTTGGGGCATGTGCTGAAATCTGGTTCTATTTCCTCTAGGATACATGATCCTTGACGTGCTATTTAATAGCCATATTCATTTATTCACTGATCATTCACCCACAGTTACTGATGAGAACCCAGTGTGTGTCGGGCACTGTGCTAAGGGCTACAGACTCGGTGTTCCGTGAGTCCTGGCGTTTGCCTCCCTAGAGATTGAAGGAAAAAAATAGGGGTGGTATAATAAGATAATGGATATGAAAATGCTTTTTGCAATTGAAAAGTCTGAGAGCATATTAGATACAATGTCCCAAGGATGGATATGATAGTATACTAGAGTGATAGTGTTAAAATATGATTTCACAGAAAATGAAATCTTAGTTTAAATAAATGGTAGGAATAAGTCTGGGCCAGACAGGCTGCCCTGGTGGGGCTGTTCCAGGACAAAAACACGACCGGATCTTGGTGCTGAAGTGCATGTGCTTGGTGGAGAAGATCATTTTTGCTGAGAGGTTTTGGAAGGCGGGGGGAGGTGAGTGGCTGTGATAGCGTGTTAATGCAAGACTTTGCGAGATAAGGTGTGATCTGATCTCCAAGTCATTCAGTTTTCCTGGGTGTTACCAAACTTGAAAACTATTGAGTATGTTAGATTTCTTGCAGAAAACTGTAAAGGTGCTGTGCTTTGAGCTGAGTGGTTTTACAGGATAGATCCTAAATGGCACCCATTGAAGCAAAGGCACACAGGAGCATGCAGGAGGAGGCCACGTAGGACACTGGGGGTCGGGAGGACTTTGAGTTGACACAGCCCTGGAATTGGCATTTAAACAGACTTATTTAACCAGATCTCTACATTGGTGGTTTTCTTCTAAGAAATCTTTAGAAAGTAACATAGCTCATGTTTCATGTTGAGTGGTCCATAACAGCTCTGCACCAATGCCAGTAGAAAAATTGATGTAAATGAAAAAATAAGACATAATTAAAAGTTTCAGAAATGTTTGATATCACCCAGTCACAGATTCATTGTTGTTGAGCTGAGAGCTTAACTGCTGTACCTTCTTATTAAAACAGGTTGAAAAAGGATATTAATATGGTTAATAATATGGCAGCAAGATTTATTTGGTTTCCTTCAAAAAGAATCCCCTTTAAAGCACTATAGAAGCTTATCAACAGTCTGATCCAGTAACAATGACCTTGACGAGCAAATAGAACTCTTAGGCAGGGTAAAAATTCTGCTGGTGCCCACTGGTATTTATAGTTATTTATAGTTTGTACATATTCTGATTGGTCCCTTCTAATTGATTGGGGTCTATGACACACTGGCTGTGAACATTTTGAATACCATACTTGGCCAAAGGTTGCTTTATCTGTCCCTTAATTCTTCTAGTCTGCATGATATTACTGAGTGGGGACCAATATGGGTATCCAGATTTAATGACTTCAACCCAGAACACAGAATTTGGTGGTGCTAAATCTACTTCTAAAGATCTTATGAGATGGGCTGGGGATGTGGCTCAAGTGGTAGCGCGCTTGCCTGGCATGCGTGCCGCCCGGGTTCGATCCTCAGCACCACATACCAACAAAGATGTTGTGTCCTCCGAGAACTAAAAAATAAATATTAAAAAAAAAAATTCTCTCTCTCTCTCCTCTCTCACTCTCTCTTTAAAAAAAAAAAAAAAAAAAAGATCTTATGAGAGAACAGCTCATCTCACAGCTGAACTTTCTGCTTTGACCCAAAGTCCTCCTGGTCTCTCCATCAGGAAGGAAAAGTCTTGTTCTTTATCTCAACACAGCTCATGTTCATCTTTACAAGTCTTGGTCATGGTAAAACATTCTCTCTCAGTTCTACCACACACCACTGACATCTCTCATCTTCCTTGACACATATGATCTTCCAAATTTATTGGGCTAAAAACTTACTAATTGCCAAGAATCCACCAATTTCATGTATCATCAAAGTTACTGCTTATTTAAACTTTCTCTATATTTGAGCACCTAAGTCAAAAAACATTTCCTCCTATATTCCTAGAGATTGAAGAACCCCTGTTTCTCTTCTTTCTTGTACCTTTTTTTCCTGTTAAGAGGGGAAAATAAGCTTTTCCTTATTGATTTCTTCTTCACTCTCACTCCTCCAAGCTCATCCTCTTTTCTAATACACACTGGATTGTAGTTTTATTGCTTTTATTATATGTAATAATAGTTCAATCATATTTCACTCTTATTCATCAATTAAACTCAGGTCCCTTCAAGCTTCTTATTACCCAGAAGTTTATTAATCTTAGTTCAGTGAAGTTCTGCTATCTCCTTCTGGAATATCTTCATAGGAATCTTGTTCTGTTTCTTAAGGCTGGGATTTACCAGTGTGCTTCATCCCCCACCCCCTACCCCCGCCCCCACTTTCTGCTTGGTCTAGTTGTCAAGTGCTTGTGTTTACTGAGAAAAACTGTGATTTTCTCTCTAATTTTCATCAGAATATATATAGACTTTCCTTTTGATTTCACTGATAAGCAGGGAAATTGGTTCTGGTTTCTAGCAACCAAAGAAATTAGGGGACTTTTGTGTATGATAAAGAATCAATTTCTGCTTTCTGTGTTCTCTCACTGTCCCACTTACTGCCTAACATGAAGTTTCATCTCCCTCTCTTTCACAAGCTTACCTGCTTCCTTGTAATGTTCCATTCCCATTTATAACACAGCCACTGAGGCCTGAAATATCTCTCTCTCTCTCTCTCTCTCTCTCTCTCTCTCTCTCTGTGTGTTGCTTATCTTTTTGTTTTTTATTCCTTTCTCCTCATTTCTGTCAACATTATGAAAGTTCCAAACTCAAATTTCTCTGATTTTACATTATCTGTGGCTCACTTATCAGAAGTATCACTGACTAGTGTTTGGGTGATGAATGACTGCTCCCAATTTAGCAGGCACAATGAATGTCGTCTTGCAGGACATTTCTTTGACTCTATCCTATTGGAGATCTCAGGGTTATTGTTAGGTGGCCTACAGAAAACCAGATTTTATTCTTTTCAGGATCTGTATTCCAGAAGCGTTATCCAAGGTACCTAAAAACCAACTTGATTTTGAGTTTTCTACAACTGATGTGGCAATTGGGTGTAAATTAGGACTTTCTTTCCTAAAGTGATCACGTTTGAATTATTGTTATATTTATCCTATGCAATCTTAAATAAAACACATCTTTCTTTAAAAGCAAGGTTACAATTTGGTGCAAATCATTGGGATTTCTGACTTAGATACTCTGAAAAGAGAGCAGGGGATTGGGACTTTAGGGATAATTCCAATTTCCTAGCAACTGCAAGTTCTTTGTACCCAGCACATATATTCCTATGTGTGTGACCAGACTGTGATGCCATTTGCTTTTATGAATGTCCCAGAGGACATTTAGACTCAGAATTTTTAAATTAACCTATCAGAGTTTCCCCCAATTCTCATTCAGTGTCCCAGAGCTTAGTGTCTACCAGCACCACTCACTAAACCTTTTAAGTCAGGAACATGGGAAGAATAATTAATACATGCTTCTTCCTCACTCTTTCTCAACTTCTAAGGTCATTTCATATTCCCTCCAAAGCATTGAATTCATATTTTTCTTACCAACCCCACTGCCCTACTATTGGGAAGCTCATCTGAAGCTGGCCAAATTAGTCCTGTTGTTGACAGTCTGTTTTTGACATCTGATTGTGTTTGTTTTGTCATGCTCCACACTGAATACACAAGTCTTTTTGTACATTTCTTACAGACAAATATCTTCTTACCTATCTTTTGGCATGCCCTCTGTGTTAGTGCTGGTACCAGGACTATATTTGTACAGATTGGAAGCTGAAGATCTTTTTAAAGTATCGGCCATTTTTCTTCTTCATACATTACTTCATGCCACAAGTATCAAGGCTGAAATTGGGCGTGTTGGCTAATGGCACTTGGGTAACTCTAAAGCAGCTGCTTTGTGGTCTTGTCATGCTTTATGAGCTGGGAAAATTTCAAGTGAGATCAGAAGCAGCCAACCTCA